TGATAATAAACCAAATTGACATGCTAAATAAAAAATAATATCTTCACCTTTTTGTTCTTTTGAAAGAATTAAATAAGGTAAGATTTTTGGATCAGTATTCGTTCTGTCAACATCATGAATTTTAACACCGACACAATCTCTTTTCTTATATTATTCATCATATAGTTTTCTTTTTTTATTAGCTGTTTCTAAATAATTATCTGTCGCTTTACGTCTTACATCTGCATGTCGTGGTGATGGTGACGATGATGTTACTGAATAAGATGCTTTTAAGGATGAAGTGGATGATTGTGAGTGAGAAGCTGAAATAGAAACTAAACTGGTATGTTGAGATGAACATGCCAGAAATTCATCAAAAATATTCGTAGGTTTAAATGAATCAATATAATTTGTTTGACCTGGTAGAATTGTAGAAGTGTTATCATTTAAATGAAGTACATTACTTGCTGTATCATTTGATTGAGAAAAAGTTGTAAGTGTTTGGGATGGTGGTGGAGGAGAATCAAAAGCAATAAGATCTGGTGTTGTTGAATTTGTTGTAATTGATTGAGGTTGATGATCATTAATACATAAGGACGAAGCTAAATCAAGAAGAGAAGCAGCAACAATATTGGATGCATTTGCACTATCATTAATATCTAGAAATGGAAACATTTTTCGCCTTTTGCTTCTGTTTCAAACAATAACAGAGTACATTGAACATAGTGTTTTTTTTCACGAATTTTGTTGTTTGCGCAACCAGGAGGGACTGGGATGAAGATTTCATTACGGTTGAGCTCGATATCGAGTCTTGCCAGTGGATTAGTCAAGGAGTACAGTCGCACCCTTATTTGAAATGGATTTCAGATTTCTTGTTGACGACTTTTCTACAAAACTTTGTATTTTTATCACGGCTCCGTTCTCCATACGTAAGGGAAGTAGCAGCAGATTTCTATATTTTTCCCTAACGCTTTTTATTAAAGCTGTGCCATCTCTAGAAATAAGTGTGCCAGATAGAACTCGATGAGTTCTATTGAATGGTCAAATCAGTTTTCGAGAATATTGTTTTGTTCGCGTTTAAAATGACAAATACTAATTTAGTAGATGAATGGATTTTATCTGAAAAACCGAGGCCTTTTGGAAAACTTGTAACGCAGGTCATTTTGGCGTCTTTTTACTACCTTAGGGGGTGTTTTACAAGTAGAAGGATATTCTGGGAAAGTTTCATCGACTTTGGAGTTTCAATAAAGTGCGCGCGTACTGATTATATTGAACACATCTTTGCAGAAAACACTTAGCGTAGATAGAAAATTTTGGTTTTGTGATGCGAAAGTCCAAAACAAAAATAATTTTCCGATTCAACTAAACGATAGTCCAGTTTCAGAATGTGCATAATTTGTTTGAGAACACTTTGCACGTCCCAGAAAAAATCTTATTCTTCGGCACACACACCGTTTTCAACCTCAGTTTCATGCTGCCTTTTTTGGATTGAATATGAAAACCCGGTTAATGAGTTTCATGCCATCTAATAGCATCTAATCCAAATACTGCGCCACTGTTCGCGCCAAAATGCGAAAGTGATTTGAATAAAGAGATACTTTGCTGCCCGTACATTCATTCAATAAGCTATTTAGAAAAAAATTTGGACCGATTCTCTTCAGTGTATAAAAAGTCGATTTTGCGAAAATGTATCGGTTGCATAAAAGAAAATTGTGAACCCTCTAGTTGATCGATAACTTCTCTTGCCTCTTCGACACAATATGTTCCATGCTTTAAGTTGTTTATTCTTCCAGTTGCGCGGATTAATTCTTGCCAATCGTCTCGATTAATGCCAAAATACTGTTTGACTCGAATTCAATCTTCTGAGATTTTAATTTGGCATCGAACGCTTTATTCATGATCGATGCAAAATAATCGGCGAATACCATCTTCGATTTCACTACCATAAGAACCACGTTGATTTTCGTTTGCTTCTGTGATCAAGGCATCGGCTAGTTTTCGGACTTTTATAATCATGCCGTTAAATTGATCAGTGCATTTCTCCTTGGTGTGAGTTATATTAGGAAGATATAGGCGTCGTCTGACATGGAATCTGAGGTCAATGAGCTCACTCATAATGTGATGAACAGAGCATCGCTTGTGCTGCATTTTGGTCCCAGAACATCATACAAATGATCTTTTCGTTGAGCAGAGAAGAAATGGACAAGAACGATTGACTAGTCCAGATCGGTGCATTTTCGGTCACTAGTTGACCTTGCGAGCTTAATATCTCAAAAAATAAGAATACCTCATATCAGTGGCCATAACCTTAGTGCTAGTAGAGTGAGTGATGGACTACAAGAATACGTATGATTTGTTCGACAGAAAGGGTGGCCACATGTCCGTGTTCAAGACCCTTTAGTTCGGAAGGGTAAAAATGACTTTTTTTGACCGGTATTTGCCGATTTTAGTCACATTAATTACATTTTTGGTCAAATCAAATGACATATTTGGAAGCAGCATAAAAAACTCAGTCGATCTATACGGGTTTCAAAATATTCGAAGAACATTTTCCTCGAAAAATTCAGCCCTGGTCCCCCTCAGGGATGCATCAAAATAAATTCTATGAAAACCCCGTTTTTATCATTTAGTCATCTGTACTTTGGGGAATTACTAGCATTTTAGAAGTTCAGAACTTGTTTTCCACAGTCAACATGAGATTTTGATGGAATTTTTTTTTTGACCCATTCCTGATGATGGGGATCAGGGCTGAATTTTTCGAGGAAAATGAAAGTCCTTCGAATTTTGGCTAAGGATTTAAATATTTGCTATAGAAGCAGTCTGAAAGTCTGTAAACACTTTTTTAATAGGATATGCTCTTTCCAATGATGCGCTTTATAAAGTTCCAGAATACTTATGTGTGGGTTTTCTAGAGGCCCGATCTCTGGAAGCCTCTTGGATGAAAGCCTCTTTGAACTTCGTAAAACACACCATTGAAAAGAGCATATCTGAAAATCCATAAAAAAAGTGTATTAGGCTTTCCGATTGCTTCTATAGCAGATGTCCGCCTGGCCTATGGAGAAATGTACACTGTGATTCGTATGTGGAAAGAGATTGTAAATTTCACATTTTTTCAAAACTCTTTCTTCTTCTCTTCACTCAGACTTTTCAGAAGTTTCTAGGATGTCTCTACTTTTTTTGTTTTTAAGGCAGTTTACGTCTAATGTACCACAGAACACTGCTGTATTTTTGATTATTTAGTTGTCTTTTCTATTCAGATGTCGCCCTGTACAGATAAAAGCAACAAAGCTGAAAACTGCGTGTATTTCATTGGTTAGATCGAATTAAATGGCGGAACAAAGACTGCACTGGACGGAGAAAGAAAAATGAAATGAATGCAGTGTCCGTTGTTTTCAGTTGAATAGAATCACTTTACTAGTTGATTCTTAGTCCGATGATGCAAATTTTTCTGAAATTAATAGAAATTCTCTATGATGGCTTATGATGCTGCTGATACAGAAGAAGGTATGATTAGCATCACAAATGAAATAAAAAGCTGACGTTTCTTTCAGACACAAAGTAAAATGAACACCTTTCCTGGATTGCTTTAGGAACAAAAGTAGACATTTTCAAACTGTTTATGATAAGATACAAGTATTATTCAGAGGAATGCGATATTCCATCGAGTGGCACACACACGATCACATCCTTCGATTTTTCTGTACAAAAGATCGAAAAGTCTCCTAATAGCCATTTTTTTCTTCCTTCGATGGATAAGTCCAAGCCTACATTTATTTTTTAGATTTTTAACTGGATTATTAATCTTGTTGTATCTTGAGTCTGTTATTTATCTTTACATTTTAGTGATCGACATTGAAAATTTAGAACTTCCACCACTACCTGATCATATTCAAGCTTTATTAACGCCTACTTTTCGTCTTGTTATTAATCAAATAGAAATTAATAATTTCAAATCTTTTGCTGGCAATATTCGACTAGATCAATTTGATCAAGTATAAATTTTACTAGTTATTACTACCATTTACTAGTTGCTATCTTTTTCTATTTAGCATTTTACGTGTATAATAGGCCCTAATGGTTCTGGCAAAAGTAATGTAATTGATTCACTTTTGTTTGTGATCGGTCATCGTGCATCGAAACTTCGTGGCACAAAATTAAGCACATTGTTGCACAAAAGTGCTGATCATCCAAATGTACAAAGTTGTTCTGTAACGGTTTATTTTGATGCGATATCAATCGATGGTGTACGTAAATCATGTTGCTTGACTTATCTTCCGTTATTTCTTTTACTGGAAGAAAGATCTGATTGTTTTTATCCACAATTCCTGTTCAGTACACGCTCATGTAATAGGTGCTTAAACTTAGAGTTAGCAGACAAGTTATAGATTAGAATAAAACAGTCAAATGTTTCCTGTGCAAAGTATAATTTGCTCTGGGTTCGCGATAACTTTGACTTTGTATAGTAGAAAAACAAAGAACTTTCACCTAGTAAACATCTAAGGTTACTGGTCTTTTTATTCAGTTCGATAAGAAAAAGAAACAGTGCTAAATATTCTTTCAGAGAAGTCGGTTCATACTGTACAGTTTCTTCGTCTATTTTCAGACTGAAGAACAAATTCATTTTTCAATTGCCCGTATCGCCTATATTGATAACTCAAGTCAGTACAAAATCAATGAAAAACAAGTTCACCTTAAAGATGTAACAACGTTATTACGAAAATACGGTGTCGATTTGGATCATAGTCGATATTTGATCTTACAAGTAAATTCTTGTGTGTTGTGTGTCTGTGTATGTTTACTATAGAGAGGAATATTTTTTATTTTGTTCAGGGTGATGTCGAATCCATCGCATTGATGAAACCAATAGCGCCTAATGAACATGAACAAGGCTTCTTGGAATATCTTGAAGATATTATTGGGACAGAACGTTTTAAAAAGCCACTTGAATTAATCAACCAAAAACTAGAAGAATTAAATGCGCTTTGGGCTGAAAAGGTAAGAGTCTTTTTATGATATGTTAGAATATTCTTCAGTTATTAGCAGCTATTTCATCAAGACGGTTTATACTATTCAATATCTTGTAGCAGGGTTAGTAGAAAAACTATCTAAGACTAGTTTTTGACTTTCATTTTCCCGTATCGCAGAGAAAGTCTCAGGAGGAGAAAAGTGCACTATGCGTGACATATCGTTCTGTAATATGAAAACATTCATCCGAATGATGTGAAGGACTGATTCTCTGGTTCTTTTCTTTAGAAAAATCGCGTTAAAGTAGCTGAAAATGAATTGAAATCACTAGAAGAACCTTACCGTGCAGCTGTTGAATGGATCGAATGTGAAAATGAATATAAACGTACAAAATCGATATTTTGTCAACTGAAGCGATATCAGCTCAAAGACAAAGAAACTGATCTCAATTTGAAGCATACCGAACGACAAACAGAAATTGATAAATTTAAAATGGACTTCGATGACAAAAAACAGTTGTGTAAACAAAGTCAAGATGAATTAAAACAGCAACAACGGTCTTATGATAAAAATCAAACAGAACTGAATAAAGTGAAGAAATGGATTGAAGATCACGAAAATGAAGATAAAACAATACGTCATGATATAAAAACATGTTTGGATGCTATAAAACGACATGAAAAACAAAATGAAACAGAAACAACAAAAATAAGGACATTAGAAACAATTCCAGAAGAAAAAGAAGAGTACATCAAAGAAACTCAAGCGGAACTAGATCAAGTGAGAGAAGAGCAAAAAGCATTAGAAATAAAGGTGAACAAAATTCGTGATGATTTACTACCCAAAACGGAACAATGGCGTAAAGAATCAACTAAAAAACAACAAGATTTTGTTGACTATAAACAACAAATGTTACAACCAAAAAAAGAACACTTCGAACTAGCACAAAATCAATTGAAAATGTTATTGAGCGAAGAAGAACGACATAAAAAATCACTAAATGATAAAGAAATTGAATATAATCGAAAACAAAAAGAATTTGATGATAAAACACAACGATTTGAAATTATCGATGAACAACTACCATTGGCAGAAAATGAATACAAAACAAAATACGATGAATCAAAACGAATTGAAACACAATATCAACAATTAGAAACAGAACATAATAAAAATGTAGCAGAGCTGAATGATTTAAGTCAACGAGTGCAAACAAGTCAAAGTCGAGATCAAACACTCAATTTTTTGTTACAACAGAAGCAGGCAAATAAATTAGATGGTTTTCATACACGTTTAGGACATTTAGGTGCGTAGAAACAAAAATTGTGTTCTACTTGAGCTTGCGACAAAGCTTTTTAGCTGTGTGATGATTGCGAATCTTACTTCTTAATCTTAGTCATTCGTACAGTGGATTAAAATTAGCAGCATTGATCTTAGACACCTACAAACAGCAGGGTCTCAATCTTAAATGAGTATAGATTCAGCTTCACCATGGAGGGCTAGGTATTTTAATTGTACGGTGTATCTTTTCGTTCGATCACCAGATGAAGAATATGCGTGTATGTGCACAGTTTTACTATTTGTATTTTAGGCCATATTGATGAAAAGTATGATGTTGCTATATCAACGGCAATCGGTGGCTATTTGGATTATTTTGTTGTGGATGATGTAAAAAGTGGTGAAGCGGCGAAAACTTTACTAAGAGATCGTAAACAAGGCGTGGGAAGTTTTATTTGTCTAGATAAAATGATGAAAAATGAAGTATATGCCAAAGCCCCGTTTCATATGCCTGCACATGGTCTACAAAATATCCATCGATTATATGATTTAATTGATTTTGTTGATCCAAAATATAAAAATACATTTTATTTTGCTTTACGTGATACATTAGTGGCTGATAATATCGACGATGCACAAAAAGTAGCATTTCAAGGTAAAACACGTTATCGAGTTGTAACATTAAAAGGTGAAATTATTGAAATATCTGGTACAATGAGTGGTGGTGGTACTTATCAAAGTAAGGGGAAGATGAATTTGAAAAATGCCATGGCAACGTCGAAAAGAAATACAATTGTTGATCCAGTTAAAAAAGGTCAATTAGAAAGAAGAGTCAAAGAAGTATGTAAATCTGTTTGTTTTAATAATTGTTTACTTGATTTTTTTCCACTTTAAGGATGAAAAAACATTGGCTGATCTAATGGTAAAGCGTCAACAATTAAATAGTGATTTAGCACAATTGAAACACAAACTTGATGATGAAAGACGAAATTATAATCAATACAAAAACGAATTAAACGTGAGTCATCGTTCATTAAACTCGTTGTGCTTGTCTGAAGCGTTATAGAATCGCTCATCTAATTCCATTTAATGAATGTTTCATATTGAGTAAACTCTATTCTAGAATATGCCACAACATATCGATGCATTAAAAGCAGCTGTTGAAAAACAACGAAAATTATTAGAATCTAAAACCGTGAATGTTAATGCAAGACAAAAGTATGATGATGAAGTCAATGAAGCAAAGCAACGTATGTCTATTTGTAATACTAGTATCTGATGTGATATGTATCATAGATCTCATCGCCTTTTTTCATTTTTCTAGAATTCGATGAAGCTACCAAAGAAGCAGAAGAACTAAAAGCCGTCGTTGATCGGTAATGACATGCGAAAAAATGGTATTGAACTTTAAACTAATGTTATATTTTATTTTCGTTCAGTATCAATAAAAAAATTAATGATCATGATAAAGAGGCATTAGAAAAACCACAAGCTGATCTCGATAAACTAACAAATGATGTGAAAAAATTACAAAATCAAATTGATACAGCAAAAGCTGAAATAACAAATGCTAAACGGTAGGAAGAAAACTCTATTGAATTAAATTATGTTTTGTATATTTGTGTTGTTAATTTCTTTTGCTCTCTAGAAATTTGCAGAAAGCCAAAGATAAAGTGAAATCAAATGAAAATGCAATCAAAGACAACAAAGAAAAACATACGCGATTAAATTTGAGAATTGAAGAGTTAGATCAAGAAGTATTAGACGCAGTTGAAAAACGTGCTAATATCGAAGTAAGTCGAATCGAATAAAAATGTTTATCGCTTCTATGGTTTTAAGAGTAATATATCTATCAAGTTTGTCATATTTATTAAACTTGATTCCACGGGCAACTAACTACTAGCGTCCGTCGTTTATCTACAACTATATTCTATGTCTAATGCCCACAATCACATTCATTTTTTTTTGTCTGTTCTAGAAAGATTTAGAAAACGTCAAAGAAAAAGTAACAATGTTAACGGAAACAATACGTAAAACTGAATCGGACTTGGGAGAAATTGAAAAGGAACTTGTACGTTTGAAACATGAATTTGTCACAGCCCAAAAAGATTTAACAGAATGTCGCCAACAAATACAAGTGGTTGAAAATGAGGTATAGACACAAATCTTTTGACGTAAAAATGAATTTAAATGATATTATTATTTATGTTCTTAATTTAGATAAATAGTCTAACATTTAGTAAAATTGACGATGATGTGAATGATGGCGATAGTGCCGAAAATAATGAACCAATACGACAAGTGGCGATCAAAATATATACAATGGAAGAACTTGAACCGTATGATATCGATGATATAAAAGAAGATTTGCATAAACATGAAGTAGAATTGAAGAAAAATCCGGCCAATTTAACTGCAATTAATGATCATCGTCGTGCAGTAAGTATTCCTAAAAATCATAGAAGAGAAAAGGATTTCTATATATTTTATTGTTGTTTATTTTAAGATGCGCAATTTAAAAATCCGTCAATCCGATTTACAAGATTTAGAAAAACGTCGGAGTAATATAAGGGAAAAGCATGATAAATTCAATGATCAACGCCATAAAGAATTTCGTAATGGTTTCGATACAATCTCAAAAACATTAAAACAAATCTACCGTACAATAACGGATGGTGGAGATGCTGAACTAGAATTTGTTAGTAGTATGGACCCATTTACAGATGGCGTTGAACTAAGGTAAACTCTTGATTTTATCTTTGATTTTCTTGTTAAGCTTTCTAACATTCTTAACTAGTTTTGTCTCTTTTTGCATCTTTGCTGTACTTGTATTTTGCTGAAAAAGCTCGTTTCTCTAAGAAAAAAGACATTACAAATCGATATTTGTTTTTATTTTCCAGCATTCGTCCACCGAAAAAATCATGGAAACGTATTGCTAATTTATCAGGAGGTGAAAAAACTCTTAGTTCGTTGGCATTTGTGTTTGCCTTGCATACATTTCGTCCGACGCCCATCTACGTAATGGATGAAATTGATGCTGCCCTGGATTTCAAAAATGTGTCCATTGTTGGCAGATTTATTAAAGTATGTGTAACAAAACTCTTTATGTTTTAAAATGATAATACGTTACCTTTTTCTTTTTAATTCAATTAGGAACGTACTAAAAATGCCCAATTTGTTGTTATATCATTACGTAATGATATGTTTGAATTAGCTGATTATTTAGTGGGTATATATAAAGTAAATAATTGTTCTCAAACAGCATCTTTACGACCATCATTATTTGCTAAAAAAATCCAAGAACGTATTTTAATACATCAATCCTCGAATAGTGTTCAGGAAAATGATGTAACGATGACAGCAACCAATGAAGATGATGGCGAAGAAAATCAAACTCATAATCATCATAATGGTACTAGCATTATAGGTAATAATGGATTTTAATCTTCTTCTATTTTACGCGTGATATTGTCAAGTCAGATATTTTCTTACTGTATAATATTCCAAACAAATTTGCACATATTTTTCATTTTTTCTGTTGTTGAATATAGTTGCTTTTTTATTTTTATGATAAAATTTTTTTTGAGAAATGGAAGTAGAACGTTTCTCTCTCTCTCTATATATATATGTTATTTTTTTAAATAAATAAAAGTACTAGCAGTTGAAAGAAGCTCTTATCCATTGGGATTTAATTATTTTGGTTTCATAGAGAAGCCAGTATCTAATGTTTTTCTGTTACCATTAATTGTATCGGTGACTTGTATAGATTACCCGTACTCATACTCTGTTACGTCACACTGGTTTGTCTTAGACACAGAATAAGTAGGTTAATTATTTTTATAACTTGTGCATATAACGTAGAGGATAGTTCTATTTGTTCTGACAAATTAAATTGGTCCATTATCGCTTAGACGGTTTTTCAGATGGTAAAGAGACCCTCATATCGAGCAAAAAACTACCATTTGGCATAGAAATACGTTTTGATAATACAATTTAACACAAAACCAACAAGTACATTAGAGATTTAGAAATGAGGAACATAAGGGTCCATGCAGGGTATTTTGATAACAATATTTATAATGATTGAGCAAAAGCAAAACCAACTCTCATGTGACAAAAGTGATTACCTTTCAGTTACGGCTACAATTAATTCAAATCACAAATTTCACTCTCATTCATTCTGTGACACTAACTTGTTCCCTAAATTCTTCATTATTAAATAAAAACTGTCAAAACGATGCAGCTTAAAACCAAATCAACAAGTACATCATAGAAAACTAAAATGAAGCTCGCATTATCAAGGTGTCATTATGCACCAACTGTAATCCGTTACTTTTGTTTTTTAAAAAAAGTTAGAGACAACGTTAAACACGTTTGTTCATGGAAAATGTAATAAACGAATTTCAGCAACAAGAATACTTATAAAAAAGTCCGCACTATCCACAAATGTTCATCATATGACACTTTATTCATGGAAGCAGTACACTTACTATTCTCTTTTCTTCAAACGATCGATATTTTCGTACGTATGTCGTTTATTATTTCATGAGAACCCATGATGATGCTAACAACCACCATCAAATATGTTCGATCAAAACTTCACGTACACCTTTTATTTACGTACTTTTATCATTGTTTCTAATCTGCAAACACCTAATTGAGAAAACGCTGCTAGCAATATTTTCTCGTTAATTAGGAGAGAAAATGTAACTCGAAGTTGTACAAAAACAATTCCAGAATAATATTTTCATTAGAATAACCTCATCGCCCGACAATATTATTGATTTGCATTCAATCAACACTTTGATATAATATCTTTATATCAAACACAATGTTTGCTTGTTTCATGAAATAGTGAGCAGTACTAGAAACTGAGTGAGAGTGCATATTGTTTGCACGAGACTACTGCTAATTTCTCAGTCGTAAGAATGAGAAAGATTGTATCAACTGCGCTGTCATCCTGTTGATATTCTCATATTTCGCTACACTGCAAGCGAAACCGGAAACCGAAGCGGTGGAAAGAAGATGGTCGCAAATGATTGATAAAAGTGATTTCGGATCGTCCGACTCTGACATTCTACGCATTACAAAATGGGAAGCATTGCTGAAGAAAGCAGCACCACAACTGACAAGCAACTAGAACCGAACTTACCATGTCCTGTGTTGATCGACTACAGTTTCGAAGCATGATCGAGTTGACCCCAAATCGAAATGTGAAGACTAATTAATAGAAAAAATTAATAGAAAAAAACTATCAATATTTGCTGATACAAGAATATTATTGTGAGAATACAATAAAATATTAATGAAACCCTGTAGCTGCAACGCTGTAGTTCAAACAGCTCTATCGCGAAGAGTGGATTCGGTATTGGTGATGAAATTTGCTTTTCAGCGTGGAGTATTAGATGCTCTAAGTTCAAATTGGTGATAGAAACGCCTGACGAGCAGATCAGAGTTTTCTTTGTTTATTCAGACGAGTGACCACCGTGCTAGATTTGAGTATGATTAAAAACGAGTTACTTCTGGAATTGTGGTGAGCGTCGAGGCCTTGAGAGTTTCATGTGAATCTCTATTCATCTGTTCTTGCAGATTTGATACGATATTTATTTTTTCGTGTTCCATAATTGCTATGTCTTTCCAGTTCTGCAATAACGTTGATGCACTAAACTCGATTTCTTCTTGATCTTTCATTGAATCTAGTAGTCCTCTATGTCGACCCATGAGCATCGTTGCCATTAAAATAATTTTGCTTAATGGTTTTAATACTGTCGCAAAGCTTGAGCTAACGTTTGGGTACCCGAGAGATAGTCCAACGCCACCAAAAGCTGAGATAACTTCAAAGAAAATTTTGAATATAGTTATGTTATTATCGATTGGGTAAAGGTGATCTGATTCGAATGCTGTTATGAGGAAAATAAATATAAATAGCCATGTTCGAGTGCTTATCAATAGACTAAATGAGCTAACTATTAAGTGTTTACAAAATATAAGAAGTAGTTTTTCAAAGAAGACGGTGGCAAATGAATGATAAAATTGATTTCGGAGCGTCCCACTATGATATTTTATGCATTACAAAACGATCGAATTGACCCCAGACCAAAATATGAAGAGAAATGACTTTTCTTAATAGAAAAAACCTGTCAATATTTGCTGATACAAGAATATTATTATGAGAATAAAATAAAATATTAATGAAACCCTCTAAGCAATGTTGTGTCTCAGACATCATTATAGAAGCATGGGATGAAGTTTGTGATTGTGGACTGTTATTGTTGTTAAATGCTGATAAGTTCAATCAGAAGTGTACCATCAAGAGTTTCTTCAACTCAGTCGTCTTTCCAACATGGAAAGTCGTTTCGATTCTGTTAACTCACTCGTGAGACATGTGAGGCGTGCTAGAGAAGATAAGTTGTCAACGAAGAGTGTTGCTCATCAGTTGACCTTTCAGGCGAAAAATATACTCAGACACGACCACCGGTTCAAGTCCTGATCTGATGATTATAGGTATGCTCTTACAGCATCGTAGTTATGAAGTATTTATTTATAAATATTTATTAGTCACTGTGTGTGAATATGTGTGTGGGAGGGGGGACTTACACCCCGTAAAATAAGAATTTATCGTTTCGGAAGTTAAAAATTTTTTCGTTTTTTTTCCTTGCACGGCGAAAAACTTTTTCTTACATGGAGAAAAAATGTTCGATACGCGAAGCATTAAAAAGTTTTTGCACCCATCCAAAGTTGATCGCCTGTTTGCGGTACTGCCTATCGCTACGGTTTGAGCTGAGGATAAAACCAGCCCAAGTGAACTCAGAGTTTCGTATTGGTAGAAGTTTACAATAATATGTTCCTCTTTGAAATAGGCATTACATTTGTACATTTCTGAAATTTTTACTCACGTTAGGTCCATGAAAGAAGAAAGATCAAAGGAGAACTGTACTATGCTATTTCTTCAGAACGACCATTAACACTGCTTGGGAAGACAGCAGAGAAGGAATGTGAGTGCAGGTGTTAATAGCTTCTTGCTACTGGCCCCGCCAAGTGTACCCACTTCTTTTCCGGTACATCTGCAATATAAAAAATCTGAGGCTGATTGTGCGTGAAATCAATGTTAATTATTTCACACTTCTGGTTTTTGGCAGAATATGTATTGTGTTTTGTGTTCATAGGTATGCTTTCTTTTCGCATTGTATGTAGACTAAGAACTTCATTTCGTTGCTATGCGTTCCCTTTATGCTCTCTCTTGCTATTGGTTTATTACTGTCCAATTGAATCGTATTGTGCGCATATGGAGATGACTCACTGTAAATGAATAGTTGAAGGGTCTCAAACATTTTCTTATTCATCTCAATCTTTTATTAGTTCCACTTCTCTCTTTCGTATTTATTTTCTTTGCTTTACTCTGTCTCTACGTAGATCTGCTTCTCTAGCTTTATTGCTGTTCATCACTTCTGTTTTCTATTTCAAGTTGAACCATTGATATTACAGGTCAGAACCCAGTGATGATACCTGTTGTTTCATGAACAAACATAAACGTTAGTGTTATCCAAAAAGCGAGAATCGAAATAATTTGTATCACATTTATCTGAAACTCTGTAGAAGATAGTCACTGAAACGTTGGAAAAAACTTCGGATCCCTTTAATTTTACTCATGCTCAAAACTGTATAAATTGTATTTCTAATTGGTCTTCTACTGTCTCTCAATGCGTACAAATGTCTTTGGTTTCCTTTTTCGTTTGATCTTTTTTCGTTTGTTTACAATCAACTGTATCTCGATAATGTCCCTCTGACTATTGTGTCCTCTGTGCGTTGTCTTGATATTCTTGTTTCGCACGATCTTAGATGGAATGAACATGCCAGTGACATTGCTCGTGCTTTTTGACGTAAGCTGGGTGCACTGAGTCGTGTCTTCGGATCACTTCTATCAGATGTTCGGCGTCAAATTTATCTTTTTTCTATTCTTCCTAACCTAGGTTATTGTTGCGTCTTGTATGTAGTTTGTTTCTCTTACTGTTCTTGATTCTGTAAACAAATTTGCTTTTCGTTTTATTTCTCGTAATTTTAACTACCGTTCTTCTAGCACTTTACTTGTGTCTCCACTGTCTCTTCCAAATCTGTCACTTCGTTGTAAATATTCTCGACTGGTACAGTTTTGCAAGATTTATCATCGTCTTAGTCCTCTTTCTTTTTTTTTATAATGTTCTTTGTCCGTATTGTTCTTCCTTACACTGTCATCATTCCAGATATGTTCTTATTCCACCTGCTGTAAACGGATTTTCTTCATAAATAGTTTCATCTTCCTTCAACTGTCACTGACTGGAATAATCTTCCAGAATAAGTCATTCGTTCTTCTTCATTATTGTCATTTAAAATAGCTGTATCTCAGCATCTTTACAGTAGAACATAGCCTATTTACAGTTAAAAACAAATTCAGTGCTGTTACTCTTATTTTATTTTCTTGTTTTTTATTCTTTCTTTACTATCTCTCTGTTTCGTACACCAGTTTACTTTTTATTTTTATTTTTCTATTTATAGATTCCTTTTGTTGTGGTTTGGCTCGGGTCATCGTTATTATAGACCAAGAACCTTTGATAACTCTCATTTTTCATGAATAAATCATCCATTCAATCATGTTATCTCACAATTTATCGATAATATATTAATTTCATTTTAGATGAAATATTTCTAGATAGTGGAATAATGGCCAATATTCCTGGTCTTACTCAGTATGATTTTGATATGATAGACATGAACGAAGATGGTAAGAGAAGACAGTTGATTTATTTTTTAATTGGTTCAAATCGTTTTAAAATTGTTTAGATAAAGTTGCAGCTGAACAGTACTTACGAGAAAATGGTGTGCGTGGACTAGAAAATTTTTTAGCAGCACGATTAGAAGCATGGCGACAAACACCATTGCACATAGCCATAACAGGTGATTCAGGTGCTGGAAAAAGTACACTTATAAATACTATGAGAAATTTGAAAGCAGGTATTTATATTTATTATTTTTTGTTTTTCAATACTCTATTATTTTCCTTTATTCAGATGATGAGGAAGCTGCACAAGTTGGCGTAGTCGAAACTACACGTATTATCCAATCATATTCACATCCGAATTTTCCAAATTTAGTTTTTTCTGATCTTCCTGGTGTTGGTACATTAGAATTTAAACGTGCAACCTGTAGGTTTTTTATATAATTATTTGTTTCTTGTATGCCCCTAATATCGGTGTATTCCGTTCAATCTTGTACATACATAGATACTTTAGTAATTCACAATATTTTTGTATATTTCAGATTTAGAACAAGTAAACTTTAAACGTTATGATTTTTTTCTAATTATATCAAGAAATCGTTTTACAGAAAATGATCTTTGGCTTGCAAAAGAAATTAAATCATATGGTAAAAGTTTTTTCTTTATTCGAACTAATATTGATCAAGATTTATTAAATGAAAAAATTGATCATCCAACAACATACAATGAAACTATAATTCTAAATACAATAAGACAAAATTGTTTAGCTCATATAGAAACAGTCGTACCAAATGCAGAAACTAAGGTATTTTTAATTAGCGGACGTTTGGCATGTACACACCGTTTTGATTTTGGTCGTTTAATGAAAGCTCTTCTGAAAGAATATCCTGGACTAAAACGACAAGCAATGATTATGTCCATGAGTTCAAATTGTAAAGAAGTAATTCACGCAAAAGTAAATGTACTAAAACAACAAGCATGGATAGCGGCCATGGTTTCTGCATGTATGTTTGAGAGATATCCACCAATTGTCTTTTTATATATTCCATTCTATCGTTTTTTCTGTTTTTAGGTGTTGCAGCTGCTCCAATTCCAGGTCTCTCTATTACTTTTGATTTTTCTTTAACAGTAGGATATGTCATCTATTATAAAAAACAACTTGGATTAGACGACGAATCACTTGAAAGGATAGCAAGAATGCATCATATTCCATTATATGTGCTCAAAGATGAATTACAAAAAATATTACCTGCTCATTTTTTCACAGCTGTTCCCGAATTTGTAATATCTCTTGTAGAAAAACAAGCTGTAGGAACAGCTATGGAAGAAGTGATTCGTTATATTCCTTATATTGGAAGTGTTGTAGCATCGACCGTGTCGTTTGCAATTATTTTGTCTGTTCTACGACATCTTTTAGCTGTTATGGAAAAAGCGGCATGCTCATTAATTGACATTATTTCTGAGAGATCTGTTAGTGATGATGAAGATGCTGATGATTATGATTAATCATTTTGATTATCAAAGTTGATTAACATATTTTTTTGAAAAAATTTTTCGTGTTAACTATTTTAATGTAATGAAGAAGTTTTCTTGTCAAAATTGCTTATGGTCACAACTTCACGTTATCTTAGTCTTTCTATTCTCGTTGGCTTTCTTTTCTCAAAACCTTTTTTAATTTATCTGTAAATTATTTTGTTGCTGAACTGTTAGTTTTTATGAAATATGTATATAAATTTAACTAACGATTGGTTAGTAACTGCACTATCACACAGAATATAGTTGTATTTTTTACATAAGAAATATTTCGTAGGATACTCTCAATGTTTTGTTTGTAAAAGTTAAATTAAAATGACAGACGATATATTATTTGTAATAACATTTTTTTTTAGATTTCTTTTTTTTTGTATAAAAAATGGATTTACTTGATTTAACTCAATTTTATCCTCAACGGAATACATCAGTTGGCTCATTTGATATAATCGATATGACAGATGATGAGAAGAAATTAGCTGAACAATACATTCAAGTGAGTGTTTGTATGTTGATTGATTGCTGTCATAATCTCTCATATTCTCTTTTCTAGAGTAATGGAGTACATGGTTCGTATTCGGTCATTTCTTTCGTATGTTTACTAACTTTCATAAACATGTTCTTATTAAGGATTGGATAATTATTTGTCACGACGTTTAGATGTTTGGAAAGATCAACCGTTAGACATTGCCGTGAGTTCATAGAATCTATTTATTATATTAATAAAATGTTTATTCTAAAAAGCTAAATTGTTGGTTTGTTTATACGACTGTATTTGATGGGTTCCTGTCATTATAATGTATTGCCATTATACCGTTGTTTGGTCAAATTTTAGCCGAAATTGACTTCACTTAGAATCACAAAATATATGGATAGTTTTTAAGAAAATATTTTTTAACATTTTTTCAGGTTGTCGGTTCAAGTGGAGTGGGTAAATCAACGTTCATAAATACAATGCGAAATTTGATGCCCGAAGATCCCGGTGCTGCAGACGTCGGTGTAGTCGAAACGACATTGCAGCCAACACCTTATCAACATTCAGAATATGAACAGTTAAAATTCTGGGATCTGCCAGGCATAGGAACACCAAATTATCCAAAAGAACTGTATCTTGAACGTGTACAATTTCAAAAATATGATTTTTTTCTAATTATATCCCGAACACGTTTTACTGGTAATTTAAAATTTAAATTTCTATACAATATTTTTTACTTATTTGTTGTTTGTTTACTCGTTTAGAAAATGATTTGTGGCTAGCATCTGAAGTGAAAAAACATAATAAACGTTTTATATTTATACGAACAAATGTCGATGCTGATTTAATGAATGAATATAATGATTATCCAAACAAATATAATGAAGAAGAAATATTAGAGAGATTACGTAATAATTGTCTAAATTATGTTCGAACAGTAGATGCAAATGCAGATGTTTATTTGGTTAGTGGTCATTTACGAAATCGTTTACTTTATGATTTTGGACGATTGAATGAAACAATTATACGTGATTATCCAACATTGAAACAAGAAAGTATGATACTTTCTATGACTGTTAGTTGTAAAGAAGTATTACTAGCAAAAATAATTCAATTAAAGTCTCGTATTTGGTTAGTGGCTGGTGCTTCAGCAGCTGTCGCTTCAATTCCTGTTCCATTTTTATCACTTGGTTTTGATGCGACAATTATTATAAAAGAAGTCGAATTTTACAGACAACAATTGGGTTTAGATCGTGCTGCTTTAGAAAAATTAGCTCAAGTTCATCGTTTATCTATTGAAAAAATAGAAAAAGAACTTAGTGAAGTATTTCCATTACAACATTTAACAGCATTGAGAAAGTTTGTTCTTGATTTTTGCAAGAAAGAAGCAATTGGTGCTACTACAGAAGAATTTGCACGTTTTGTACCTTATGTAGGAACCATGATTGCATCAGGGATTTCATTTGGAGTCTGCTTTTTGGTATTAACTAAAATACTTGCACGTATGGAACAAGCAGCGTTGAAAATTATTGACATTACTATGGAAGCATCCAATATGGCTGTTCAACAGCAACTGAAACAATTTAGCTTAGACTAGACTGTTATTTTGAAGTTATATTTTCGATGGCCATGTTTAGTTAATTTATTAAGATTTATTTTATTTTGTGGTAATTTTATATTGGTAATAACTTGAATTTTCGAGAATTTTCTACTTTTCAATGTCTGTTAAAAATTCGTTCTTTCTCTATCACTAATTATGTACATAGGAATGGATTCATGTCTAGCGAATATTTCGACATATTCTTCTTGTTTTGTGTCGGAAACATTGTTGGTTTTTTGTTCATTCTTTTGTTGTATATACGAGCCGGCACCAAACTATTCTTAAAACATAGCCACTATTATGTTTTACATAGAAAAATCGTATACTTCTTGCTCGGAGTTTTAGTATATTAAAAGAAGTAGGTATGAGCTACTTTGTCAAGATAGTGGACTCGTTATTGTAAATGTTTCATTGTTATAGTTTACTTGTTTAAGATGCCTAGTGTAAAATATCATCGAGAAAATATGCCGTATAATGTTGCGGTAATCGGACGTAGTGGAGTGGGAAAAAGTTCATTTATCAATACTATTCGTAATATAAATAGTGAACATTCAGATTCAGCAGCTGTTGGCGTTATCGAAACAACAATTGAACCAAAATGTTATCGTTTTGAAACAAATGCATTTTTATGGGATGTTCAAGGTCTGGGTACTCCATCAGTTTCAAAAGATACTTATTGTACGGCAATTAACATTCTTCGATATGATATGTTCTTAATATTATCACGTGGACGATTTTTAGAGGATGATCTTTGGTTAGCTAATATTGTACGTGATAAATTACATAAAAATTTATTTTTTATTCGTACAGGAACAGATGAAGAATTGAGAAACCATCGTTCAGATTATCCGAAAAAGTTTAATGAAACTCGTGTATTAGATAGTATTCGAGAAAATTGTTTACTTAATTTATATCAAAATTTTGGCACATCGAATACGTCATTATATTTAATTAATGCTAAAGACAAATCAAAATATGATTTTCCATTATTAATCAAAGATATAATTAATCACATCAATGGTGAAAATATGTTGCCTATATTGACATTGATAAATGATGATAATCAAACTACTCAAGTACCTTCACAAGAACAATCAGTTGGTCAGATTGTCGGCAGAGTAGCATATAATTGGGCACGATTTGGTCTAATTTCATATATTTATGATAAATATAAATCTCAACCACAATAAGCTTTCTAAGATTATATCAAATCTATGTTTTATGGAATGATTTTCGATTATTTTATACAGGGCATAAGGTCGCATCATTTACCAGCATTCTTACTTAGGATCGATAAAATGGTTAGACTTACTTTTGAATTATTCAAGTCTTTTTCGAAGTATTTTTCCATTTTTGTTTTCTACATCGACTCTTATATATTGGTGCTATAGGATTATTTTATTTTATATTCTATTTTATCAATATTTTGTTATGCAAGCATTTTATCTTTTATTTATTATGAGTCAGAAAGCATCTTAGCATTCTGTTTTGTGCTAATCTAATTTGTACATAGTCTATTAGTATGTCTTGCTGAGACAAAAATAATTAAAAAAAGGATTGAATGTCAAAAAAATTACATTGGGTTTTATTTGATCAGTAGAGAAGAGAAGAATGCGTCATCTAAAATAAGAGATGATTTTTAGATTGCAGTTAGTATACAAAGTTAGGGCTCGATCTTCACATACTAAATTCTGAGATAAGATTTATATTTTCGATTTCTTGAGGTGCAAGAGAAACTCTTTAGAGTTTTACTATTTTTCATCGGATGAAACAATATTCATCAATATTTATCATTATTCTTTTTTATTGGTAGCGATTCATTCATTCACTTTTCTGATATACTGTGTTATATAAGATAATAGTACTGCTGTAGACGACTGCAGCCGAAACTCTTGTAGGAAACCTCCTTTTTTCGGAAGTTTCTATTTTTTTCTCGTTTTTTATAAGTAAAATGCTAAATAATAAAAACAGCATTGAACTTTTGGATAGAATGACACATGACACAAAGGTACGGATGTGGGCACTATAAAAACGACGTTAACTTTCGAGAAAAGAAGAAGAGGATCGAAAGATAACCGAAACAAATGCCGGAATACATTTGTACTGTTTGTCATCGATGTATGTTTGTAGGAGATGTTCGTTTATGTGAAAGACAAACTTATTTAACTAAAGTGACACCAGATAGTTTAGAAGAAATTATCGATTATTTTAGGTCTTGGTGGAAAATATCGAAAGGAAAAATGTCGAAAAGGAAAATGTCGATAAAAAAATAGCAAAACGTCGAAGAGGAAAATGTAGAAGAACAAAATGCCG